CGAACCATTTCGGAAGGAGTTTGCGCGAAACATCCTGCTCGAGCGCAAATTCCTCGGAGAGGACCCAAACAAGGTCTCCCTCGCGGAAAGGACATGGAAGTCGACGTCGGTTAGCCTGCTGCTGSATGCGGATCTGAGCCTTTTGCATATTTGCGCGGGCTTTGATCAGCAAGTCCCGGTACTTCCGGACGGAAGCGGGAGAGCAAGGGACGTCTATGTCGGTAGCCTGTGGCAAAAGGAGATCAGCGAAGATCCGTGCTTTCTCTCCACCATGATGTAGAGCTCGAATGGTGTGACGCAGATCGCCGGGTGCACCGAAGTGTTATAGGCTAACTCGATGTCGGGAAGCCGGTCAACCCAATCTTTCTGGTCGGGACGGATGAGCGTACGCAACATCATCTGAGCGATTTGGTGCGCTCGTTCCGTCTAACCATCCGTCTGCGGGTGCCGAGCCGAGCTCGGTTTCATTGCCGTACCGGACTCAGCCATGAGGGAAGTCCAAAAGGTTGACATGAAACGAGTATCTCGGTTGCTCACTATGTCTTCCCGAACACCTTGGTTGGTAATCCAACCGGTGTGCAAGAGTCGTGCGAGCTCAGGCGCTGCAGCATGATACTTGCAAGGAAGGAAGCGAGCATACTTGCTCAAACGGTCAACGACCGTGAGAATACCGTCATGGCCGTGGTGATCGCGGGGAAACGGGCCTGTCACGTCCATAGCAATGGAGAGGCGTGGTGCCCGAGGGATCGGCAACGGTTTCAGTTCGCCGAAGGGGACTCGAGATCGACCCTTGTTTCGGTGGCAAACTGCACATGACTCAATGTACCTCGTGACGTCATGAAGGACGTCGGGCCAGTGAAAACGCTGGCGGAGGYGTGCTAGTGTGCGGTTCACGCCAAGGTGTGCCGAAAGTCGTGCGTCGTGGAATTCGCCGAGAAGACGAGTCCGTAAGATGCGATCTTGGGGCACAACTATCAAGTCCTTTCCTCTCGTGTGAAGGAGAAGGAACCCGTCGGAAATCCGATAGTGGCTAGCCGGCGGGTGATCTGATGAAAGCTCCGCGTAAAGCTTAGAGTAAGTCGGATCGGACTTGTAGCCTTTGACTAAATGTGGCTGCAGATCGTCATCGAGGTCGAATGCCGTGGTCGCAATGGCACAAAAGTCGGGCCGTAGTGAGAGGGCGTCCGCAGCTCGATTGGCACGACCGGGAATGTGGCACTGGTCAAAATCGAACTGGTCGATGTAATACATCCATCGACCAATCGTGCTAGTGACCGTGTCTTGCGTTTTATAAAAGGTCAACGGATTGTTGTCCGTATTCCATTTRAAACGCCGACGRCCGAGAAGAAAGTGGCGCCACCGTTTGAAAACAGTGACGAAYGCGAGTAGCTCTTTCTTCCTAGCGTCGTCGAGAGTGTTGACGAGAGGCACCTTTTGGGAGAAATACTCAACCGGATGCCAACCGTCCT